GAACCGCTGTTTAAGCAAGGTCTGGTGCAAAGCAGCAATTCAGAACCCACCTTGGGGAAAAGAAGGCTTCTCTTGCCTGAGAATCTGAGAACAGGAAAGAAGAAAAGGAGAGATAGAATGAGGAAGAGGAGGGGAAAAAAGGAACAAAGAAAAAAGAAAGAGAAAAGTCAGGAAGAGTGAAGGAGAGAGAAGGTCCCCTGAATGTTACATCTCCAGCTCTCTGGAATGGGTTTTCTTTAATGCTAACAACTTGATATTTACTTTCCATTTAAATTTGAGATGTTGCTATAAATTATCAACCAGCCTCTTGTTCCCTTTGAGTTTATAACTAACTACCTGGGTTACTTATTGTTCAGGTAACAAAAGGGAGGTGAAAACGCCCTTAAAAAGTAACCTCAGAACTAAGAAAATGGGAAGCTGGCATGGAGACAGGACCCAGGCCCCTGTGGTTGAGATGAGCCAGGGAGAGGGGCTATGCTCAGACAGCAACAAACAACTGACAGCAAGAGAGCAAGATTTAAGAAGAAAGAAGTGAAAACTGTGTGACAAAAATTTGGAGACAGAGATTAGACCTTGGAGGACAAGAAAGGAATGGGGAAGACATCTTGTATCTGGGCAGAAAGGGAAGCCAAAAAAGCAGAAAACAGGCTTAGAGATAGAGAAGGAGAGCTTGAGCAAGGCAGACCCATTTCCGCAGTTGTGACTCACTGAAGCAATTGAGATTTTAGTGTCACTACCATCAGGAGAACTAGATTTAGGGTGAAATCCTACCCTCTGACAATCAATGACAGTCTTAGTGCCAGTGAAGGAGCAAAGGTTTTTAAGTTATGATGCCTTAGTCAATGGTGAAGGCTCCGCAGGTGGAACTATGTATTTGGGCAATGGCTCACAGGAAGGTTCAGCTGACCCACTGCTGTCACTTGTTCTGTGATGTAGCCTTGAGCCTAAAGGAATTGCCTCACTGATATTACAGCCTGTGTTCTGACAATGTACAGAGTAGCTAGGATTTCATGCAACTGTCCTATGAAATCATACTGCACTAAGATTCCCCTGCAAAGCGTCCTGCTTTGTCTCAAAAGACGCCAGAAAAACCACAGGGCTTTAACCACTGGTAGAAGAGACTCACAGATACTTCCTGCTTTATTCCTAGAACAAAAAGTGAGGATCTCAACAGGGGACACAAAAGTGACTCATGATTGGGGCACAGGAAGGAAATCAACATGTAACAGAGGTTTCCATCAGCGGTAACACAGTCCTTCCTCTTCCCATCTGAGCCAGAACTCAAATCTAAGAGACCAGAGGTTCCAAGTCGGAGCCTTTTCTCTTTTGTATAAGGACTTGTATAATGAATTCAGGGTGCAGGTGCTGGCTGGACTATCACAAATACAAAGGGTGAAGATCAGTCCTTGGTTTGGACAGCAGAATTAAAAATACACACTGGGGAAAGAAAAGCTTTCGTTAAGTTCAGCCGAATTTGAGGCTTCTGAAAGACAAAGACGGTTAAGGGAAGAAGCTAGAAAACAGAAGCCTCTACAGCAAGCATCCCATCCTAAGAGAGAAATTAATGATCCTATTTTAAGAAAGCAGGTTCTTCAGAAAGCTGTAGCTGACGCTGCTTCTGTCACACTTTAACTGCAGCAGAGCTTGCTCCTTGGACTATCCAGCCACTGGGAGAGAGGCTGCAGGGGAACAGAGATAAGGGTGTTTGTACTGAGAGAACAGGTGTGGACTTTGTCCTCCTTATCACTTTGCAGCCTCTAGCAACCTCCCGAGTCAACAACGCAACGAACAGTACGGTTGTTGCCTGTTGCTCAGACCTGTGCGTTCTCATGACAGTTCCTGCACAATCCCAGATACCGTTTTTGCCCCCATCGCTCCTTTGATGCTGGTGTTGGGTGTGACACCAGTGCATTTCTACAGCATGCAAAACACATCCACCAGGTATTTCACATAGAAAACACAGAAGGATGCGCTTTGTTAAAAACTGAGCCAAATTTTTTTCTGTAGAGAGACTCCTGCACTGTTTGGATCTAGACTGCCTGGTTTCACATCTTTATTTCTACTGTGATTTTTCAGCTCTGGTGAAATCAATACACACAAAGAAGTCAGGGTCATGTTTTCTCTACTTTCCTTAGGAACCTTCATGGATATTCTAATTGGAGATCCTAAAAATCAGAGATTCACATTCATTATGAAATACTGAATCAGATTAGCTTCTCAAGTTTTGTGAGTAGGTCTCAAATAGGTCTATTCCCTCAACTGTTATCCCAAAGGAGGGTGGCAATAGGAGGAATTAGTGGTCTGCCTGTTGTTCTTTACTGCATTTAGAAGCTTGAGCAGATCTAGATGTGAATCAGTGTGTTTGAATAACATGCAGCAGATGTGCAAGACCATAATCCTGGATGGTTCGGTGTATACATATGCATATATAGCTGTCATGTGACAGTGTGATGAAAGCCTGTTTTCATTTCTTGAGTCACTGCAAGGCAACCCAACCTGGATCAGAATCAGGGCATGAGATAGGTTCAGCATGATATCACAATGAATCTGTCTTGGAAAGCTAAGTACATCCACCCTGAGCACCTGTGCCTTAAAGAAAGGGGGACAGAGAAGAAAAAGCTATGTAGGGAATAGAGACATCAGCTCTGAAAAAGAGAGATCTCTAGTTCTAAAACATCCGACTGAATACTGAAATGCAACATCACTTCCCTCTTCTACCATTTCTCACTAGCAGCAGAAATGCTTTACATTCACATTACTTTCTAGCAGAAAGGTCCATTCCTTGCTCACATCACTGATCAGCACTTTCTATCATTTAGAGATGACAATTGCCTAGACAGAACAGGCCAAAACCTTGTATCCAAATGAGCACAGACAGCAAAGGCTATGGCCATGTACTGGGAAATTCCCTTGATAACCAAAGAGCCCCCTTCTAAGGGGAGACCAAAGTGCCTACAGAGAATAGTTTAAAGGAAGCTCTTGCTACACCTTTTGCACCTCATTTCTAATACCATGCAGTTTTTACCCTGAATGAAGAGTCAAAACTGAACAAGGTACCGCACTGAGGAACAGCTTTCCCTTAAGCAGCCAGTTAACCCTCTGGCCTCATCAAACAGAATGGTGATGACTGACACGCAAGGTGCACCCCAGGAGGTACTAGTGCACTTCCTTGGAATCCAAGTCTGCTGAGTGCAGGTGTTAGATCTCTTTCTCCTGAGAATTGTTTTCTGCTCCTTCCAGAGAGGATCCCTGGCGAGTAGCAAAGATGGTCAAATCCTACCTCCAGCAGCACAACATCCCTCAGCGTGAGGTGGTGGACACTACAGGTCTGAACCAATCTCACCTCTCACAACACCTCAACAAGGGCACTCCCATGAAGACCCAAAAAAGGGCAGCCCTCTACACCTGGTATGTCCGCAAGCAGCGAGAGGTGGCCCAGCGTAAGTATGGCAACAACTGTTCTCCTATCTCAATTTCATAAAGGCCTCTGCTCTCCCTTGCTAATCCTTACTACCTATTTTTATCAAGGAAAAATGGAAGGAAAAGCCACTTCTGGCAGGAAGCTTAGAGAAGTCTAGGTCAGTTGGTGAGGTGAACCAAACAGTACATGGAAAAACACTCCCTCGTGAAGCAGCCTGCAGTCACCCATGCACCCTCCATTCGGCTAAAGAAAAGCAAACTATTTACTCTCCATTTGCAATTAGAGTTCTATACCCATCCTCAGCCTAAAGCAGTGTAGTAGACAGATGACAGAGAGAGAATTGCTGCCCAAGAACTACTCTTTTGCAATTTCAGCTAAAGCAAAGGTTACTCTAGCTGCAAAAAGCAGCAGGCTGCAGTACTCACTGTGAAAAAACACTGTGGGCTACGACCTCATGTGAAAAACCACTGTGGGCTACCAACTCACGTCCTCTAAGCCTCTTTATTACAGGCACCCACTGGGAACCCATCCCTGCAGCATGCACTTCTACATTCATGAACCCGTCTGGAATCTGTCTTTCTTACTTTTGTATTGGTGGGTTGCAAGTAAAATGAGACATCTGGCCATTGGATGGTTTTGGAAAGCAGGACTCCAGTCATGCTTGCTTCTAAACTCAGCTGCATTTGCTTTCACTACTGCAAGGTGGGAGCAGAGATGCAATGCATGCAAGAGAAAGGACAGATAAATATGGTCCTGCTAGGAACATCTTACCAGTTTTAGCAGATTATGGTACTTTATTTCCACTCCATTTAGATTCAGCCCTCCATCTTGTATGAGATATTCTCCAGAAGCGAGCTGCATTGGGGTCTGCTAGGCACCCAAGTAGACAGAACTGTTGGAAATGCTTCCAGAAAGCAAATTCCCTTGCCCCTTTGTGCCTGCAGAATTCACACACGCTGGCCAGGGTATCCTGACAGAGGAGCCCATGGGAGATGACCTGCCCACCAAGAAGGGAAGAAGAAACCGCTTTAAGTGGGGTCCTGCCTCACAACAGATCCTGTTCCAAGCCTATGAGAGACAGAAAAACCCCAGCAAAGAAGAGAGAGAGGCACTGGTGGAAGAGTGTAACAGGTAAAGATGGGTGTCTAGCTTTGAGGAAGAGAGGCACAGCAAGGCCCCTCTGTGTTCTTGGTGTTTGCTAGCGCCTATGAGAGGCAGGCTAACGGTACAGCAGTGGATGTCACCACTGACACCAGCCACATTTGAATGAAATGCCACAACCAAGCATTTGCGGTCCACAAAGGATCAGTAATGCCTCATGTCTTACTACACCTGGCAGGATTCTTCCAGCATGCCAAGACCACAGGCACCTTGGGGCTGCAGACTTACTCTGTCTCTCTAAGCCCAGCTCAGCAAGGCTCTTCTTGTGCTTTATCCCAACAGAGCAGAGTGTATTCAGAGAGGTGTTTCCCCATCTCAAGCCCAGGGACTGGGCTCAAACCTGGTGACAGAGGTCAGAGTTTACAACTGGTTTGCCAATCGCAGGAAGGAGGAGGCTTTCCGGCACAAGCTGGCCATGGACACCTTCAGTGGACCACAGCCCACCTCTGCTCCTCCTTTAACTTCTCACAACTCTTCCTCCCTCCAGCCACCATCTGCTCTCTCACCCAGCAAAGTTCACGGTAAGAAACAACTAGAGGGAGACCTGAAAGAGACACCAGTGAACCTACCCAAACTCAGTCACCAGAACTATCTCCCAAGTCCAGCCCTTTAGGAGGTGAATCTACAGACAGAAAAAGCAGACATGCTCCAAGTGAAGAGCACCAGTGACAAAGAGACCATGTCTCCGAGTGAGGAGAGTGGCTAGAATAGCAAGGGTGACAAAGTTCAATAACAAAACTTTCAGCCAAATCTCCTCACTCCTTGACATCCTGCACTCCCTCATGGCTGGCAGGCAGCAATCCCCTTTCAAGAAGCCATCCACTGGCTGCCATCACAAGTCAGTTCTGTATCCTTTCACTCATGTATATGCCTCCTAGTCTTTCCAATACATATCAGCACCATCGGACTCTATGACTGAGTTTTCAGGCATCAAGAGAGGTCATTCTCCATCCAAAAAGAGCAGAGCTATTTTCAGCTTCACAGGCTATAGCTGGCAGTTGCTCTCTCTCTGAGATGATCTTGCTGAGACTCTATCCTCCCTACACCCACATCCAGAAGGGTGGTTTCTAGTGAACCCTGATTGCTCTCTGCAGCACACACAGCCATAGCTTAAAGTCAGTATTTGAGGAAGCAGTTGTACCAAGTTACAGGGGAAAGCCAGGGCAGGGTGGCAAGAATGTCTGTTCCCCTACTACCCACCTTGTCTCTGCCTCAAACATCTAAAGGGAAGCACCTGCAAAGGAAACTGAATTTAGTGCTTGCCAGAGTTTCTCAGTTTCTCACTTTTGACCGCCAGTTTCCCTCCTGTTGTGATGCAGGAGTGAGGTACAGCCAGCAGCCAGCCAGCGAGGCAGAGTCCTCCAGCAGCAACCACCACGGGAACAGCTCCATGGTGACCACCCAAACCATCCTGCATCAGGTTTCTCCCCCTGGACTGGAGCCCAGCCAGAACCTACTGAGCACAGACACTAAGCTGGTAAGTGATGCAGACTTAAATTGTGGTGACTGGAGGACATCAGGTCCTCTGCCTGTGGTCACAACATGGATTATTTAGAAGTAGTTTTTCCTAGAATACTCCTAAACCCCACCTCTTTATAGAGATATTACTTAGCCACTTTGCACTGACCATTGTAACATGACCAGTCCTGAGATACATGTGCCCTCTAGACTGCTGGGTATTAGAACATGAAAGCAAGAAGCATAGCCATTTCCTTAAGATCAGTCAAAACAGACTGTTCTGAAAAACTACAGCTCAAGGTATGACTTGATTTCCTTCTTCAAAGGAAACCCAGTTCTCTCTTCCTTTCCCCAGTGAGATTCTCGTCATCTCATCTCCAACTCTCATTTGAACTCTACATATCTCAAAATAGCTAATTAGACACCAATGGGATTAACAGAACAGAGACCCATACTTATATCTATCTTACCTGTAAAAATTAAGCTCGACAGCCTGTATGCAGCACATACCATTGAGACATTTACTAGGTATCTAGATGGTAGCAATCTGCCTTCTCAAAGCAAATTTCCTTTTGAGAGTTGACCAAACCTTTTCCCACATAATTAGTAATGAAGCACTAGAACTACATGACTGATCATTTTCAGTTTGCACATGTTCCCTTGCTTACAGGGAAACAGTTGGCAGAAGTTTGCATTAGTGCATACTGGCCTTGAGGCAGTTAAGTTCACTAAAAATGAGCATGACTTAAATCTCATCAGTCACTCACTTTGCTGGCTTTCTGGTCTTTTTCTGAAGAACAGTATCTTTCATGAGGTGCTGAAAAACTTCTACAGCTGTCTTCTAAAATTGCTATCAAGGTGATTCATCCCACTGTTTAATCTATTGGTGCTTACTCTTACTAAAGATTCCTTACAGCTTTTTGTGTGAGGGGAGAAAAAAAAGTATAATCTAAAGCATAGAACTTTCTCTATCAGCCAAATTATTAGAATGCTATTTTGCTGTTCCACAGTACTTCGACTACAGGTCTCCAAAGGACTTTGCAAACTCAAAACCCCATTAGAGCACAGACACAGGTTACGTTATTCATTTTAGAGGCTGAGGAAACAGTCAAGTTATTAAATTTCTCAATGCCTGAAGGACAGACTGAATCAGCAAGACACCCAAGCACAGAACAGTCCTGTTCTATCTAACAGGTATGTTTCCTCTCTAACAGCAGGGAACTGCCAGGTAATGAAGAACATACTCTATGAGAAAAAGCTCTAAGGAAACTTTTCAGCAACTCCTTTAAAATCTCAATCAAAAAAACCCACCGGCCACTAAGAGACACTTGCTGGGAGAAAGGGAAATTACAGGCATTTCTCAGAGGAAATGATGAACAAGAAAAGAGGAACTCCTGGATTCTGTGCTGAACTCTGCAGCTAAAACTACTATGTAAAATTACCTGAGCCCTTTAATTTCTCTGAGCATCGACTTCTACACTCAGCTGTAAAACAGAAGATAAGCTTTCCCTATACAGAATGCAGTGGGACTAATCTCATTCTTGTTTGTAAAACCCTTACGATTTCTTAAACATGAAAGAACTAAACCAGCAAGGATTTACTCTTAGTATTTCAACAGCTGACCTTTGCTAGTTAATTGATGAGGAAGGGAAACTGCAGACAAGCCATTGTGAAGTCTTTATAGTTAGCAAGTGGTCAGAGCAGGCAGGCAGAGGGACATTTATCACAGCTTTGGGACTTGCCATACTCAACCTTCTGCAGATGGCATTTTCACAGTCCTCCTTTCACACAGGTCTCGGCTCCTGGAGGAACTCTCCCTCCTGTCAGCACCCTGACCGCCTTGCACAGCCTAGAGCAAAATCCACATGCACTGAGCCAGCAAACTCAGAACCTTATCATGGCATCACTGCCAGGTGTAATGGCAATTGGAGCTGGTGAAACCTCATCCCTAGCACCAGCATTCACCAACACAGGTGCCTCCACCCTGGTGATAGGTGAGTAGTGTTCTGTAATGACTCTGCTTGTAATTGTTAGAATTACCTGCCTCATTTTCAGAGACAAAAGTAGTAATTTGGCAGTGATATGAACCTGGGGAAATTGTCACAAACACTAAGGACCTTCAGCAGCACTACTTAGAAGTACCAATGGAATTAAGGGACAGATGTTCCTTATTCATGTTAGAATTAAGTTACACACAAACCCACATCTTAACAGCCAGGGACTTTTGCAATCTATTCCTGTGCCAATGTTTTGTTCTGCTGCTCTGCATCTTCCCAAATATAAATGTAATACTTCCTTAGAAGTATGAAAATTGAAGCATGTTCATAGTGCTTGAAAGACAAAACATCCCATTCTACTTCCTGCAAAGAGCAGCATATGCCTTTGGAACCCACAGCAGTAATTACCATTTTTTTTAATATTTTTCACTTTGACAGCTTTTCTGGACTTTTGTGAGATTTCTTTTCATTCCAAGACTAGTCTACTGCCAAAGTGTATCTCATTAGATAAAAGCAGATAAAATGTATACTCTCCTCTTACATTTCCACAGTGGAAATCTCTCAGTGCTGGAAAAACTTGCTGATTTACGGGAACAGGGTCTGGACAGTCATGGGAAATGAGTAGTAATGTGTGAAACCTTCTCCCTCTTTCTCACTGGTCAAAATTTGGCAGCCCAAGCAAGATGAGCTTAAACTCCGTTTCATGCAGCTGGACAGCTACAGCATAGTTCTCTCTGTTGCCAACAGCTTCATAAAAAAAGAATAAAATGAACTGGACATGAGATGATGCTCTGAGTTTACATCTGAGCAAGGCCTCCCCAGTGGAACTCTGTATCAGGTTATCACTAAACTGGAAAGTGACCTATACTGGTACACAAGGATGCACACAGGAACAAAGACTGGAAGACAGAGGTGGTTTTATGGTACCTGTCTACACTGTACATTTTGCACACTCCCACTTCAATTTCACAGGCGTGAAATCTATTCATAATCACAGATAGCAAACAGAACACCTGAAAAGCAGGATCCAAGATCACCCTGTGACAACAGGCCTGCCACAATGGCTATTTCAGACGTTCCTATTGCAGAGCAGCCACACTCATCCCACAGTGTGTGATACTACTATCATCAGTCCTTGTATTTCAGGCCTGGCCTCAACCCAGCCCCAGAGTGTACCTGTAATAAACAGCATGGGGAGCAGCCTCACTACCCTGCAGCCCGTCCAGTTCTCCCAGCAACTGCACCCATCCTACCAGCAGCCCCTCATGCAGCAGGTCCAGAGCCACATCAACCAGAGCCCCTTCATGGCTACCATGGCCCAGATACAGAACCCTCACGGTAAGAACGTGAACTCATTTGCTCAAGCAAACCAAAATATAAAGGCTCCATTCTGGAGCATTTGCTGGGTCCTCGGGCTTGCAGCACTCTGTTTTCCTCTTCTATTATTGTTCCTTTAATTATGAAATTATTTTGCCCTTGCATTCATCTCCCTGTCCCTCCACTCCCACTGTTTCAGAGACAGACAGCAGGTCCACGTGCATGAGGAAAAGAACTCAGCCAAACTAATCTCATGCAAAGCTCCAGCATCCACATGATCTTGTTTTCTTTCATGCACAGCTCTCTACGGCCCCAAGTCTGAAGTGGCCCAATACACACATACAGGCATCTTACCACAAACCATGGTGATAACAGATACAGCCAATCTCAGCGCCCTGACTAACCTGACACCAACTAAACAGGTAACAGCCTTTAGCACATGCATTTGTTCCCCTACCTTAGAACTGCACCAGTCTGCAGGTAGCTCCTTGTTTGTCAAAGAGTTTTTGGGTGTGTGGTCTATGCCATCCCAGCAGGATGATCTTTCTTATCGCCTCACCTTGCTGGTACCAGCTGCAATACTGGAGGCATTAGAGCAAGCTCTTCACTGCATCATTAAGGAGGATTTAATCTCCTTGGAAACAGCACCTGCTCACTCTGCTCTTGTGCCTTGTAGAAACCAGGCACTGTTAACTTTCTTTTCTCTAGGCATTCACATCTGACTCAGAGACTCACACAGAGTCTGGGATGCATACACCAGTGTCACAGGCGCCAACGATACATTTACAGAACCAAGACACAACCATCCAGCACCTTCAGCCAGGCCCTCGCCTCACCTCAAGCCCTGCTGGTAAGAGCAGCAGCCACTATTATAAACCATGTATTGCCATTTCTCTTGCCAACACTGTAAAACCCAGACAGGAAATGGTAACTGGGGCTCACTGTTCACTAGTGTCCAGAGGGGTTTGAAAAGCTGGTACAAGGAAAGGATTCAGAGCACAGTCTGTGCAGGCTGTACAGACTGTGGACCCTTCTTCAGAATCCAGAAAGGAAAATAACCTTAAAAATATTGACAACAATCAGTGTCCATGCACAGCCAATCCTGCAGGCAGCAGTTTTCAGGGCTGAAAAGCCCAAGACTCCCTCATGAAGAGACTGCAGCTGGACGTTCCCAGTTCTAAGACAAGAACTAAGACATTAACAATCAACTAGAATCCTCAGATCTGAACTCCCTGATGCCATCAATGCTTTCAGGCTAGCTTTGTACTTGAGCTAGGTATATGATGGCACACAAAATAGAAGGAGTTATGCCTCTATGCCAGGAGGTTTTAGTCATGCTAGAAATGTGTGTGCACACATAAAGGGACTGCAGTAAGAATTTGTACTTAACTTCTGTCTGTGCCTTTGACAGTGTCTTCCAGCAGCCTGGTGCTGTACCAAAGCTCTGACTCCACCAACAGCCACAGTCAGCTGCTGCCATCCACTCACAATGTCATCGAGACCTTCATCTCCACGCAGATGGCATCCTCCACTCAGTAATCAAGACAGCTAGCTCAAGGGTGACTGCCATGACCAACCTGTCAGGTGCAACTCCATCTGTGTTTGCCATCACTATCACCACTGCCTTTCATGGGAAGGAAAGCCTGCTGCACTCAGCCGGCCCCCAGCCCCTACTGCCTCACACAAATCCCTTACTCAGCTGCCTCCATGAGAGAAGAAGTCTCAGGTTCAAGACAGAAACCGTGGAAAGATGATGCTGGCACTGCTAAAATCCACTGCCCCCCCAAAAAACCAAGCAAACCCAAACCCGAGCCAGCCTAGAACGACCAGACATCCTTTCATAGCTGCCCAAGAAGGGATCCCATCAAGATAGGGACCTGAATGCAATATGGCAAAAATGCCACGGCATGGATGGGACTTTCATCTGCCCAGCCTTCATCGAGCTGGGCCTGTACAAACCTGCCAACACCAGGCTAAGCCATGCAGGAAAGAGCAAAGCTGAGCTGCCAAAAGAGACACCATCTTTAAAACCCTCACCTCCTTTGCTTTAAAGAAGCACCAATGGGAACTATGAGAAATAACAGTACCTTGGAGGCAAGGGTGCAAACCTCGTTCCTGACTGCAATGAAAATCACCAAGAAACATATTCAGGAATGGCTTGGCACAAACCTGTCAGTGTGGGATCACTGACTACAAGCTACGAGTCCTTTAATTAACTACAAAAATACCAAACATTCCCAGTTAAAAAATGACCTGCTCTAAAATCATGCTATCCTAGTGGAAATGGCTTGGTTATTTTTGATATAGCTCTGCTTTGTTTTAAATGCAGAAATTAAAGTTTAACAGCAGCAAGCAGATTCCAGTTCTCTGCATTAACCATGTAGATTCTCACCTCGTGCATCTTGCTGAGTGAGCCGGGAGATGGCATCTCCACAAGCCCCTGAGACCGCACAACACCTGGGAGGTTCCCATGCTCCACAAAGAGCAGCAGTTCCTTTAGTTGTTCCCAATAAAGATGTCAGCTCGGATTAATTTTACAGAACACAGTTCATTCTTAGCTTCCCTGTAGGCTAGATTCTGTAGTTCTTGATATGCAAATAATTACCCTGGGGTCCAAGAGTCTTGCTTGCACTAAATGAAGGGGTTTAGCCCTAAAGATCTACTTATATAATTTCTCTTCTAATTATTCCTCTCTTCTCTATTTACTCTCAACCTTCACATCACTGATACGTCACTAGCCAGACACGAAAAAAGCCCTAATTAAAATGTTTTTGTCATTGTGACTGACATAGAGCTATTCTTTCAACTGTAAAATGGATGAAAATCCTTGAGACTAGAAAGTGCTCAAGACTCTTAAAAGTTTGAGATAAGGGAGAATTAAAAAAGAAAAAGCCCAACAGCAAACTCTTCAGTTATCATATCTGGAAATTTCAAAATTGCAGGTGTCCATTACAGTTTGTATTGATATGATCTTCCTTTAGATACTATCAAACATTAGAGACTAATTTCAGTTACTAGATTCTCTGAGGAATTTTATCCTACAGTTGTTTCCTGATCTCTCATGTGCATCATTTGCAAATATGTGTAACTTCCAGTTAGCATAAAAATAATCAAAAAAAGTCAAAAGATAATTTTTAGACCACTATGCATTTGAAACCCCAGGTGCTAGCCTCAGTATACTGAAGTTTTAACTGGCTGTAAGACAAGTAACTTCTGCTGGCACATTCAGTTAGATTACAAGCCAATTTTCTACTTAGCCTTTCAATTTTTGGATGCCAACTGTGTTTTCTTGATTAAAAACCAGCAAGGATCTTACAGTAAGAAACATTTTGGGTTTTCCCACGCTCAAAGAGCAACAGTTCACTATTTTGGTTTCTCTAATCTGGCTTTCTGGTCTCTTGAATAGGGCAATTGAGTTAGAGCTACTGAAACCAAACAATCTTAAAAACAGAAGAAGAGTATTTATCCAGTAACAGGTCATTGCCTGAAATACTGGAGATGAAGTACAAACAGACTAAGATCCATACTGAAAACTACCAAACCCCACTGTATTTCAGAGAAACAAAAGTCACAATCAACCAAAATAAGGACTGAAACGCGGTGACTTTTGAGTTAGGCTTAAGTCCTTGCTGTAGCAATCTCACAGCATTGATCATCGAGCAACTAAAGAGCCAGCTTCAGCCATCTTTATCTCTGATGAGGGAGCCATCTGAACACAGCGAGAAAGCCACTGTCGTACAAAACCTGCCATGTTAAATAAGACTAATAGTGTAGTAGAATTTAACAACATAAATGCCATAGAAAACTATACATGAAAAAGATTTCAAAGGACACAATTTGAACAGAACTACCTATTTGTAACAACCCTGAAATAAGCTCACTGCACACTGTTTATATGCAGGGGCCCTGGAGAGGTGCAGATTACTGAGGGAATAGTAACACGGCAGGTTTCAACAACAGATTGTTATGATGATCACAGGAAAAAAAATAAGGGGGCCCCAATATCTGACAGGATGCTTTTGATAAATGAGTCTCCCACAGGCTGGAGTTATTCTTAGAAGGCATCTAGGAGGAGGCAAAAAGAAAAAGGAGTTGATCACCTGTTGCCATGTAAACCAAATTCAATTCATCATATACTTTCTCCAGAACACAAGATTTGGTTTCGTGATGTGAAAGACCAGACCAGGAGGGATGCAGCTATGATTATATCCCTCTGTCACGCAAGTCTGTGCACAGTATTTAATCCTTTTACACTAGGTCTGCATAAGCAGCAGCATAGATAACTGCTGTGCTAGGAGAACAATGTTCCCTTCCCCAAGGGATGCCAACAACATAGGAAGTCACTTAATTAGACTCTCAGGCCACTGAGCTTTTAGAACAGAAGCTTTGCCAATTAATTTTCCCTCATCTGCAACAACTCTTTTTGTTAGGTTTTTTTTCCGGCACCCTTCATCCATCACAATCACCTGCCGTTTGCAGAGCAAAATTTTCATTCTCTTTTTTTCTTTTTCTTTTTCTTCTTCACAACTCCTGGCAACATTGAGTTCTCTGTATGACTGCTGTCCTGTCTCTCATGCTCTCCATTTGCAGACACCAACTGTGGCAAATCTTTGCTGCTCTGGTCACGCTCTGCTGGGTCTATTATATTCTCTTCAATATTGTTCTCTCCCCTAATTTTCTTTTTCTTCTTTTTTTTCTGGCTGTGCTCCACATAACCCTGACTCTGATCCTGGCTGGAATCCTGGGACAGTGCAGGAAAAGCACTTTGCTTCAGAATGTCTGCAGCTGACACAGCAGCCTCCTGGTACTTTTGCCACTCCTGGTCACTGTCCGTGTCACTGGAAAGGTAACAAAAGGAAAGGGAGTTATGCTACACTTTTGCCTTGAATTCACCCAGAGCACAAACAGCAGAGTAATCTAAGATGAGAACACTTGATAAACACCCAGTGGCTCTGGGAACTCCAACACAAGTTGCTAGCATTTATCCAGTTTGAAGGCTGAGGTATTCTTTACACATACTAGGAGGGGAAAGAACATCTCACACACACACTTCTAGTTCCCCAACACTAAAAAAAAGAAACAAAAAGAATCTGCTCTAGTCAAATATAGGACTCATAATACACACTTCTCAAGCTCTTCAGCTTCCCATTCCCTTCCGAGAGTCCCAGCTGCATCTGAAATGTGGGATGTAATAGTACTTCAGGAGCAAAGCAGCTGACAACACCTCACCTGGAGCTAGATGGCTGTCTCCTCCTTGCTGCAAGGCAAGGCTCCAACTTCCCAGAGTCTCCTGGGACAGAGGAAGAGAAGAGGCGAAAACCTGAAATATGTAAAAGGGAATTTTAGCCACGATATAGAACAGAGATGAAACTAATCAACAGCAATCTCACTGGGAAGCCTCACTGCTGTTATTGTATTGCTATAGTGCTTGACAGCAACTATTTGAGACTACCCAAGAAGAGTTAGGGCACAGAGATCACAGCTTCAAAGTAACAGCCTTCACAGATGGTAACAGAAATTCTTCTATTGCAAATGTTTATTAGTCAGTTGGGTGTACAACTGGCAATGGACAGGATCCATCCCACTTGTCATCATTTAACTAACAATGTCACAAAACAGCCACAACGGTTACGACTAGAACTCACCATCATCTGCAGAGTCAGACTGTTGCACAAAAGTTTGTGAAGGTCCTGATGAGTCCTTCAAGACAGTGATGAAACTAAACAGAAAAGCCCAATCAGATCTTAAGACAGGTTTGTGCAAACTGAGCTAAAGTTATGTATTTCTAGGAGACAAAACTATAGGGAGATATTACATAGCTTCTTTCTTTTTCCTTCATGAAGCTGTCTCACCTCCCAGCTCCCAGAGCAGACCATGCCTTCTCTCCTTATCAAAGCACACCACAAGAATGACTTAAAAGCAGCATTTCTAAAGCCAACTCTGAACACCAGGAATTCTAGTTCACCAGGGTCATATTTACACAATGAATAAAGACAGTGGCAGCCCCATCAGAGGCATACTGCCAGCACAACCCTGAATCAGGTATTGGTTTAGGTTGTAAGAATAAATTAAAGAGTCTCATGCTGGCCTTCAAATGATTAAAGTGCTAAGGTACCCAAATTCTACTTTTTCCTCCCCATAACCCATTCACCACAGAGGCAAATGCAGAGGGACTCTTTACCAGAAGAGCAGAGCGCGTGGGCCAGGTTAGTTCACAGAACATTGGAAGTTTGCATTAAATACAGGAATGAAGGAGACAAGAAGAGAAACAACTGCTCCATATCCAGGTTGCACTCAGATCTTGAATTTCCTGGGTTTAGCATGCAAAAGCAGCAGTGTACTAGACCCATGGAACAAACTTCTTTAGTAATGCTTGCTGATACCTGTCTAGCATTGCTCCCAGTTTCTTCGCAACATGTGCTCTGAACTCTGGTGTCGTCTGTAGCTCATTTCCATCGTCATCATGATTGTTCACCTCACGCCTGTTTAAATTAAGAATAATGATTATCTCTTTCAAGGCCGATAACATCAGGTGCTCTCGCCCAAACAGGAGATAAGGGACTGTAAAATCCCCTACTCTCTAGTAATCAATTCTTACTTGATAGGGAAGACTGCTAAGAAAGATGGAAAATAGCTCAGTAGTAACAGCTCAGTTCCCAAGAGAGAGCTAAACATTATTTAGTCATCTCCACCATAGTTTGTAATTGGATCATTTTCCTCATTGCAATAGCCTACAAAAGCAAATAAGTTATGTCAGGACATCCCTTCTCTTGCATATAGTTCCTGCTTATGTTGCCACAATTCATGCAAAATCTGTCCCAGGAGAAAGGACTTTATTAAGTTGCCTGCCTGACAGCCTGTGAAACTGAGCCTACAGAAATGCTGCAAACCAAGGCTCCCAGTTCAGGCATTGCTTTCCAGCCGACAAGTGCTTGCCTTTGCAATTGCAATGGTTTTTGAAGAAAAACATTTTTTTTATATGTAACTACTAATTTCTTCATAGGACACTTGCACAGTTGGGAGATTTCTGAAACTTGGAACTAATGCTGTAACCGATGGCAGTAGTAAATTTTCAGCTTCTATATTCCCCAGCTGCTAGAGGGATGAGGAATGTACTTAAAAAACCTATTAGCTCTTTCAGATTTAAGCATCATTTCAGATTAAGGTCAGATTAATTCCTAAAGCAGAATAGGCCCTTCCAGTAGGAAGTATCACAAGGCATTAACTGCAAGTCACACAAACACAACATACATTTATTTTTTTCTTCAGTGAAACGTAAGTCTGAAACTAGAAGCAAAAATACCTTAGGCTAGGCTGAGCAGGCTGTAACCGATCCTTTTTAAAGCCACCTGACAAAGGAAGAAGTTAAGGCAAGTTTAACAGACAGTGACCAGCATCTCTTTAATCCCCCTTCTGTCACATGTGATTTTATAGCATAAAGAATCATGCTTGAAAGACAATCCACGCCCACCTGCGGGGGAACACAGGTGCGAGGGTAAAGGGAAACTTCCCATGGGCCAGGCTGCAGCAGATCCCCTGCCTGGGAAGGGGCTCTAGCCCCGGCGGGAGGCCGCGCACCGC